CTAGACGGCGACTGAGGGCAGATGCAAGAAATGAAAAGGAGGATAGCGACAGGGACGGTCGGGTCTGGGGTGGGGGTTAATCTGGGCTCTTGGCAGATCACTGATGCATTTTACCCTCGTGCATAAACTGGCGTAGGAGGTGTTGCAGGAGGAGCCAGGCCAATTCTGGACTAAAGGCCGTCAGGAATCGCGCGAGAGGCTGGGATCTTCGGCACACTGCATACTCGTGATTGATTAACCAGAGCAAAGAGCAGGCAGGTACTTACAGAGCAGAAGCAGGCAGGCAGGTATTCGCCGGGCGCGGTCCTCCCTACAGCATCTCAGCCCGTCGCGGCCTGCCTGTTTAGTCTAGGCCCTGGCAGTAGGTACCTATCCAAGTATCTCTAGCCAGCCTTGTGTGTATGCCGGTGTTGTATGCCGGTGTTGTATGTAGTATGTGGTACGTGGTGTAGATAGTACGTAGGTAGATGCAGTGGTGGTGCAGGTTACGGTGCGCTGGGCGTGGTGAGGAGCGAACCCCTTGGAACACATGGATCAGCGACCCAGCGATCCGAATCGTCGGCTCTCGTCCCCCGCTGGCGGCCGTTCAATCAGCCAGAGCGGGTCGAGCCTCTCATCCGACGCCCTGCTCTCAGGTATGTATGTATATAAATGGAAGCGAGGAACGAGCAGAAGCCCGGCGGTAGGTGTAGCATCACAGCTGTGAGTTGAAGGAGACGACGCGGGAGAGACTCACCGCCAAGCACCCCGCGGATACCGAAAGTAGAAGTAGGGGTGGTACTTAAGTAAGTTTAGCCCGTCCGGCGCCGTGCCGTCCATTGGGCGTCGATAGCAGCGGGCCCTTGCCTGTAGCTGGGGCGCCCCGGCTGCCATTGGCCCGCCTCTGCAGGCCCCTCGTCGTGCCTGGCGCTTACACAGCCCTCACAGACACCCAGGGTGCCCAGGGTGTGCAGGGTGTGCCGTGTGCGCGCTGCAGCAGTGGCGCGCAAAGAAGGTGATATCGATGCAAAAATAAATACCACACCACCACACCCTCCCACGGCCAATCTACCGTCGCCCTCGTCTTATAGGTTCGTGCGTGCGAGGTACGGCATCCGATTCGCACCCTAATATAAGTCACGCCAGTCTTTTCTGTCGTGCTACGAGTCCGGGTCCACACGGGCTGCCCCAGGGCACGAGGCCCAGCAGCCATCGCTACTATATTACATGCTCTTAAAGCGCCAGAATCTGCATAACCTGCCGTCTTATAGCTGCCTTGCCGTCCGGGCCGTCAGAGCCCGCGGACATCAAGACAAATGAGTCAGCAGACGCATGAAGCATCCCAAGTAGGTATATTTATATAAGGCATGCTGCATATCTCGCGGCGGAGTAGACAATGCTTTTGAATAGAAATCTTTAAGCCCCCATCTCATAGCTGCCCAGGTAATTAATACGTGACAGGGCTGGCCTTTTTACCTTTCCTAGCTTCATAGCATCCATCACGCTCCATTTGTGCTAACTTAAGGTAGGTTGCTATTTACGTAGTTACATACTTAGTTATCCTCGTCAAGATTTGCTCGGACGCAGTTCAACCGCGCGATCAACACAACACCCACCTATCTACATAGAACACGGTCACACTTAACGGGACCCAAAAATAGAAACACGCTGCAGTGTGCCCTATCGGTGGAACCCTCAGTTGCTAGACTAGGTAGCACACCTACATGGCGGTCAGGGAGTTGGCCCTCGCAGAGCGATAGACTACCATTCAGATGGGCCAACCACGCTAATTGTAACCCACAGGACCACATGTTCCACAACAAATGCGTTTTGATATGCAGACGAAGCGCCGTGCTTAAAAATTAACAACACATGGAATCGGCAGTAGCTGCAACAGGGATAGAAACCCGGTTGGGGTACCGGGTAGTAGATAGTACGTAGTAGATAGTGTCCATAGTACCGGTATGTCCTCCTCATCGTGAGCCAGTCACTTGGGTCTGCCTCTGATCCAACCACCACCAGTACAGATGCATGCCGAACCAGACTTAGAACGGCTTGTCACGGTCGCTACCACGTTTCAAGATAGGAGCGTTCTACCCCTCAAGACCACCCAACTATCGAATCGGTCGAGACTGCATCGCAGTAGAGTACTTAAACCCCGTCGGCATGGGGTCACTGCTCATGCATGAGCCTGATATTTAACGTCGGGAGTGCTACCCAGGAGTTTAAATTTAGCAGTGTCACCATTCACACGTGGTAGTCGTAATACTCCATCTATCCTGTACAATGTAACGGAGCTCCAAACAAGCGAGGTAATTCAACTTAGAACCGCGTTAATAATTCTATTTGAGGGGACACAGCAAGATAGGTTATATCCTGCATGACATTGATTCTTATAGGTAGCTGACAACATGATTTATTATGTCTAGAACGAGCTGCCGTCATAGGTCGGACGAGCGCTATCTCAAGAGAGCGGCGGAGATCGCCAAATGGGGAAGCTTGTTTGATTGTTGATAACCTGTAGCTTGGCGAGTGAGGTTTCACGTTCTGTTTCATCCCCTCGAATCTCCTCGAAACAGGTGGCTTGCGCCCGGCACCTCGTACAGCATGGCCCTCCCGCAAAGTATTAATGTTTGAAACGTCTACATAACACGTTCAGTGCCTGATTTGTCTTATTATACGACCCGGTACAGCTTCATTGCCGAGTATTCCATCAAATATGAGATCACTATTTTCCATGCTTCACCTACTTAAACCCAAATACTAATATTATTGACCAGTCTTACCTTCCTAGGCACTACGATGTCCCTATCATCAAGGGATCAGTGACCTTAACAAGCCAATAGAACTTATTCTCTTATATTATATTAGTATCGAAATAGTGTTTGATTAGTAATACAGTATTTCGAAAATGGAGTGGTGTATAACAAGTATAGTATGTCGAAAGTAAATGAGGATACAACCACTTAAACCAACAACTTGTTAACATTTGAGGCTCTCAACTGCCAGAAATCCAAGTGCAACTATCTTGGGTCAAAAAGTCCTGCATAAACCAGGGGCTCTGTTTGTCAGGCGGTTATGTCACGGAGTGAATAGATAGACCTGTCTGCAGCCAGGGAGGTAAAAGGAGGGTAGTAGGGGGTCAATAAGGTGGTCAGATTGATTCCTGAACCTCCCAATCCAAGGGCTCGGAGGGTTCTACTCCTATACATATCCAATAAGCTACTATTCTGACCCCATAGAGTCCCTAGGAACTAGCCAGTCACACTATTCCCTGACACTGTTCTATTTCTTTCGGTGCATATGCGCAGCCTACCTCCTCAAACCGCTCACCATGGGCCTTTTCTAGGCGTACGGGTAGTCTCAGCTAAACCCGCATATGTCCTTATTCGCATCCAAGGGTGGTAATCTGTCAGGGAACAGTGTAACGGGCTAGGTCCCAGGGACCCTATGGGGTCAGAATAGTGGCTTATTGGATATGTATAGGAGTAGAACCCTCCGAGCCCTTGGATTGGGAGGTTCAGGAATCAATCTGACCACCTTATTGACCCCCTACTACCCTCCTTTTACCTCCCTGGCTGCAGACAGGTCTATCTATTCACTCCGTGACATAACCACCTGACATAATCTAAACCTGTTACAACGGACCGCGATCGAGGGGCTTGGAGGATAGGTCTTCTATCAAGTCAGTAGTTTAATACGACATCACGGTAGCCTCGGAGACAGTCCAAATAGCCTCAGCTGTCTTCGCTAGCCATTTCCATTTTGGGCTCTATGTCTAAGACCTTCGCTTAAGCATATTCAACTACCCGTCCTATCACATTCAGCTTCCTCAGCTTGTGTGCGTATAACGAAGCCAGCTGCAAAGGTACCCTTTGCAAGCAATATTGTTTATGGCGAGCTGCAGGGTGTTGAGGGACTACTGAATAGCAGTGCATACCACAGCCTAAAAGTGCTGGCCGGCGAACTCTGCCGTCCAAGGCGGAGCTTGGACTTTTGTGTAAGATCGATAAGTCCGAACTAGAACCGCCGACAGTAAGGATTGCGACAGGCAGATTATAGGCTATTTAGTCAAATCTAGGAATTAACAATATACTTGTTCTTGAAGTGTCTCAGAGATATGCAGTCAGGGAGCTTTGACTTGTGGTGGCTATGTCAGCATTTCCAAAGTTCATATCTTGAGACCACATGTCACGTATATGTGGGTCTCCAAGGAAGAAGGCTCACTCAGGCACCAGGTCAGGTGATCTCTTTTGTGTATAAATCGGGGGTGCAACCCCCTCTACATAGATCTCTCCTTCTGAGAGATCATCCGAATACATGATCAACAGATCTGTCTAGTTGAGAGGAGCACTGGTCTAATCTTCCACGTGATCTCTCGCCATACCTCCGCGAGACCACATCTGTGCTTGCTAGGCAGAGGCTCGTTTGACAGGGATCGACACTAAGATTAAGCTACATTGTCGACTACCCGTGTCTGATGCCTGATTAACATAAGATGCCCAACCTAGGGGCAGTAGCGGTTGGATGTCGAAGGTAGTAAGAAACATCAGACTTATAAATTGGACTTGCAGGTCACTTTATTGTGGTTTCTGTTATAAATAAATATGGTTTACCTAAGTTGATAACATGAAAGAACTTAATAATATACTAAACATGGCCTACATAAGATATGCATTCATTCCTAGCTGATCACCGGTTAATATTATTCCCGTACCTATGTTTAAATAACGAACATATATTTGAGCAATAAGCTTATTGGTACACATTTACCTGTCGTCAACGTTCAAGGAACCCGTTGCAAAAAGGCGGTATTGCCTCATTTCCACTGGCAAGGATATTCCACAGTTGCGATCTCGTGTGTTTGACTATAGTTACAGCTTGTGCTGCTATCGTCACCTGTCGCCGTGCAATGTGAACCCAACAAAAAGTTGCATCAGCCGTGAATCGAACACGGGGCCCATCGATGGCAACGATGGATTTTACCACTAAACCACTGATGCTTTTGTGACTGTAGATGCGGGCTCTTCCGGGATTCGAACCCGGGGCCTCTCGCAAACGAGCATGGGAATGCTTCGAGCATCGTGAGATGCACGGGGCGCCCAAAGCGAGAATCATACCTCTAGACCAAAGAGCCGCTTGGTTGATGGGATGTGATTGGTAATCTCGGGTCTAAGTGCGGTACGTTCGTTGTAGGTGGTGGGTTTGTGACGACGCTAGAGGAAACTTTCCCGTTTGGCGGAGTTGTGCCCCATCTTGATGCATGGATGCGGTCAGTTAGCCCGAGGTCGTCACGTAGGTAGTGTGTCTGTGCTTCGGCTCATGGAGCTCGGTGGTTCGTTTCAAGTGGTTGGGGAAATGAACTGTGAGGTTGCAACTGATTAGGTAGAAATGGGAAATCCAATTGTTAGAAGTTGGACGGACAAGTCCTATAAATGAAGAACTACCTACTATGTAGGTCAATCCAACTCCAGAGTAGCTAGACTCCAAGCGCAAAAGATGCGACTCTTATCATTAATTAATCATTACAATGTGGCAGTGAATGAACGAGAAATATCAATACTCCGTACTTAAGTACTTGACCGGCAAGAGAGTCGGTTACCCGGTGTATCATGACTTGACAACGTCACCAGATATATATAAATTTCGTCTTATTGAATGTCATCAGAGGTTCCTTGAGCAGGGTTTGATCACCTTTTACCCATGCTGCATTAGCTTCCTTATTAGCTCAATGATATTATAGCACACAACAGGCAAGATAGCTAGGAGGAGCCACGGTTCCGGCCATGATCGGAGGTTTATCTATCGCACGGCCGGAATCGCCAAGACCGCCCCGGATCCAATAGGCTTGGACTCAACGTCTTGAAACTATAGTCTATTCAGACAATGACTCTCTTAGGGGGTAAAGTGGCCGTGGTTCTCCTTCATCCCAGTCAGGCGACTTAACCATTCTTTGCACTATCTAATCCGGTTAAGCACCTTAACGGTTTGTTGATTGCATGGCTTATTGTTTATGCTGGAGGTAGGAGGCCTTGTGGCCTGAGTCTTCCTCCAATTACCTTCATTACTTTTATCGCGCGGACGTGATACTGTCTGATGTAATTATAAATTATCTCAGACAGCATTATCCAGACTACAAGATTATAAAGTAAGGCAGCAAGCTTTGCGCTGTGTCTAACTACCTCGGCGTTTGGTTTGCTAGGTATGCAACTTGAGCTTATTAATATTATATCTAGGATCAATATTGTCCCGAAGAGTGGTGCTAGAACCATTCTACCGAGGCTATCACAACACCGAGCGTTTAAGCCGACGAAGGCTCATCAACCTAAACTGAGGCTACTGCGTTCGAATGGGGTGTCATGTAGCATCTCGTCTAGAATAGTTTATACGTTGGTTTTGACATGTGAGGCCGGGAAAGCACCAGGCATTATAAATGCGCCTCCGTGGAGGCTGATTTATCACTGGATATTATAAATCGCCTCCCCTGCTGTAACGGAGCCTTTAACGCGACTCCATTATATGTTTAGCGGCTGACTAAAAGCTTGACTGTATTGACATCATTGAGAGAACCCTTCCGCGCCCTTGGTCAGTTTTGGTGCCACTTGTGGACCTTGACATCGGCAGTTCCCCTTGTTAGTGGAAGTAGTACCGGACTTCCGTGCGATATTCAAGTAGTACCTTCATCATTTTGCTAGTAGGTCCCATAAAACACCCCAACGCCACCTATATAATCCCCTCGAGCTATGTAGCACTCACAGTGGGTGTGCCGGGTACCTGGACAGGTGTTGAATTTACACAGATCCTCCATCTAAGGTTAAGAATACCCAAGGGCGTTGCCATCTTGGCCCGTTAGCCTTGTGTCGTCTCTCCTACGCCAATCCAGTGGTATTTTAATTCCTCACTTGTTCAATTGCTCTGCCTGAGCCTTCTATAATATCATGGCGTCAAAACGTATACCCGCACCAGACGTTGACCCCTCTCCTTTAGGGGAGCCGTTGCATTTCGCGTTTAGCGGAAGGACAGCTCCCAATCGCTTTCTCAAGGGGGCAATGACTGAGCGACTGTCGTCGTGGGATCCGAAAGACCTGGAAAAGCGCGGGGTTCCGTCAAAGGAGCTCGTCAATACGTATCGGCGATGGGGCGATGGTGGCATCGGTTTGATTTTGACGGGCAATGTCATGCTGTACTACGACCAGCTCGAAGCACCGGGTAACCCTATCATCCCCAAAAACGCACCTTTCTCGGGTGAGCGTTTCGAGAGGTTCAAGGAGATGGGCAAGCAGGCCAAGGCTCACGGCAGCCTTGTTGTTGCTCAGCTGTCCCACCCAGGACGTCAGGTTTCCGATGACGTCCAACAGCACCCAGTCTCGGCTAGTGATGTCCAACTCGAAGGAGTGGTGATAGGCATGACCTTCGCCAAGCCGCGAGCTATGGCAAAAGCCGATATTAGGGATGTAGTTGAGAGTTTTGGCTACGCTGCCGAGTACTTGCACAAAGCTGGATATGACGGAGTCGAACTCCACGGTGCCCAGTAAGTCCATACAATCTTCCTCAACAGATGCACCGTGCCAGCGTTTCCGACTAACAGGCCGCAGTGGTTATCTGATCGCACAGTTTCTGTCGCAGACCACAAACAAGAGAACAGATGAGTACGGTGGGTCGCTACTGAACCGAGCTCGCATAATATTCGAGATCGTAGAGGAGATCCGCAAGCGCGTGGCGGACGAGTCCTTCATCATCGGTATCAAGCTCAACAGCGTCGAGTTCCAGAACGGAGGCTTCACACCGGAGGACTGCCGGGATCTCTGCGTCGAGCTCGAGAAACACAGGTTGGACTTTGTCGAGCTCTCCGGTGGCACGTACCAAGCACTAGGCTTCGTGCACAAGCGGGAGAGCACCAAGAAACGCGAGGCCTTCTTCATCGAGTTTGCCGAGATGATCGTCCCGCAACTGAAGAAGACCAAGGTCTACGTCACGGGTGGGCTTCGCACCGCAGCTGCGATGGTGGAGGCGCTCAAGACAGTGCACGGCATCGGGCTGGCTCGGCCGGTCACGCACGAGTTTGACCTCGCCAAGAAAATACTCGAGGGCAAGGTCAACAGCGCCGTCGACAACGGGATTGACGAGCAAGACTTCGGGCTTAGCAACATTGCTGCGGGTACTCAGTAGGTTTCTCTCTTCCCGGTGTTGGGATCGGTCGGCAATAGTCGAGATTTTCTTGAAAGCTGCTTGAATGCGCCTTTGCTAACCTTGGTACCTTCTGTCAGGATACGTCTTGTCGGCAAAGATAAGGAGCCGTTGGAATTGGGCAGGCCAGAGCACAAGGAGGCCTTTGACAAGGCTTTACAGCAGTTCATCAAGGACATGGCGAACAATGCGGACGGGTCGAAGTACGGGTATATGGATATCGACGGCATCCACCTCCAGCCCTACGGTACACCGTATGCGTGAGCGCCGATATGGGTCGCGGGGATGGGCACGCTTACGTTATCAAGGGTAGAGAGAAAGGTGTGAGACGCGAAAGGCCTGAGCAGGGAACTGAGAGCTGATAGACAACTTATCCATTATCCCTTGATTCTCATTACTCCAGCGTATGGACACTTGTATTTCGCGCTCGCTTGACAGTGAGCACTGTTGCATTGATGTCTTACTGACGCTCACTTGCCAACTACTGTACACTTTGGTGAATAACCGGGCAAAAGAGTGGAATAGGTACCTACCTAACTGAGCCCTTGCCCGATTCACTCTCACGAGTACTATCTAACTAATTAATTGTGCTAATTGTACTCCGTACTACCATCAAACCTGCGCTGGCTATGTCATATTTGGCATTTGGCGCGTATAGGCATGAGACAGCCCCACCACTAGAGGTCGGCGGTCCGACGTTGAACCGAACCGACGAGAGAGCCCCATTCCACTCGGCCCCCTCCCAGCAAATCCTGCACAGCTTGACCAACGTTGCCAGGCTTTAAATACCCTGACAGGCTCCGTTGACACAGGAATTTCTAGAGCTTTCGGCGGCTTCGCGTTTCCCATCAAAAGGGTCAGTCGGCTTGCAGGCCCCCCATGCCGACCCTTCTCCCACCATCTTCTGCCTCCCACGCTCACCGGATGACAACCGAGTAGCTCCCTCGTCTTGCCTCGTCCCGTCCATCTGTCATTCATTGCCATTGGTGAGTCCGTGTCTCTCTGTTCCGCTATCCGTCTGTCTGTCTGTCCTGCGCATTGTTCTCCTTTGCTTGCTTTGTTGTCGATGGCATGCCTTCTCGCCTCGGCAACGAATGCGGGCTGAGCCGACCTCGCATGCGCTCACATGCGCTCCCATCCTTCGTGGGGGTTGCTGTCTCCTCGAGCTTGCTTCCGCTTCCCACCTCCGCGGCGTTTCTCCTGATGATCACACCAGCTGGCACCAGTCATAGAGCGACTTGTACTCCCTTTCATTGATGACCAATATGCTGAGGTCCTTTGAGACCGTAATCTGATACCAAACGCCTGCCCTGTTCGGCCCTGTCTCGCCCAGTTTTGCATGATCCCCTGCGCGCTGACGGTTGCTGACACGGCTTCTCGCTTGTAGCATCTCCAAATACTTCTTGTCGAACGTCGATACTGCAGCTTGCGTCACAATGGCCCTTCACAATCCCAACAACTGGCATTGGGTCAGCAAGAATACCTCGCAGTGGGCGCAGGACTGGTTCCAGGAGAACCTGCCCCAGCTCTCCGCCCAAGATGGGGAGGTTACAGCCAAGATCAGCAAGGTGCTCAGCATGGACGGCGACGTGGATGTCAGTCAACGAAAGGGAAAGGTCATCACCATCTTCGATGTCAAGCTTGTGCTTGAATACTCAGGTACGACCTTATTCGCTACTATCCAGGTATCCATGCCTGCGCGAGAACCCGTCCCTGACTGCTCATAGGTTCTGCGCCGGAGGCAGATAACGTTTCGGGAACCATCACCGTACCTGAAGTCGCCCATGACACGGCGGAAGACGAGTTTGTCGTACGTATCTGCTGCAATCCCTAGACCTAGCGCAGTTGCTAAAACTCTGCAGTTCGACATCGATATTCATTCCGAGTCGAAGGAGAAGCAGCCCGTCAAAGATCTCATCCGCTCCAAACTGGTCCCGCAGTTGCGGCAGG